CCAGTTCCTGTTAGTTCAAATCAACTAGCAGGTTTCGACTTGGTGAAACCTGTAATTTCCCTGAAAACGCGAAACTGTTCGAGTGAATTCTTCAGAAAGTCACAGGTTTTCACAAGGTGGCCTGTACAGGCTCAACGATTATCATTCCCCCTCAAGCCGAACTGCGCACAGAACTCTGTTTTTTCCTTCACAGTAGGCGAAGGTGGATAGTGATAGGTGACGTCGCTTACAGGCTCGGGGGTCAAACCTTGAACTAACTCTCGTCTCGGTCAACCAACAATGGCTCCGAGATCTTCTAACAAACTTGTCTGAGGAGATTAACCTCCACAGCAACTGCTCCCACATGTCATTGTATAGTCCACATTTGTTGACCATGCTACTACGATTCCGATTGAAAGCAGAACGCGCGGCGCATCCTTGAAAGGAATTAAGCAACTATGAAAGCGCTATCCTTCCATTCAAACCCGTTTTGAAAGGACGTGCTGGTTTTTCTACGCAAAACGGAATCCATAATTGGATGCGGATTGAGTTTGGTTTTTACTCAATCGAAGGACTCAAAGTTCTCTCCAAAAAAGGGGTGGTAGCGCACTGGGATGCGGTATGACACACCTCTAGAGACCGAGTAATGCACGGGGTCAGAAGCCTTCCAATCTGCATCAGAAGCCCTTGTGCGACACCCAGTTAAATGGTTGCAAGGCGATTTTACCCTCCCTCCTTTCACCCCATAATTTACTCTTGAGTGGCTTATTTCTGGATCCCTTTAAATAATTTCTGGTTCTGGGGAAGGGGGTCTTGCACATTTGCTACCTCCCAGGCCGAGCCATCAAAGGGAGACTTACGGAAACTTGTGAAGCCGCGAAGTGATATTAGCCAAACTATCTGCAGACCTTTTGTCAACCTTGTAAAAGATACCTGTCAAGTCTTGTAAAGCAATGAACACGTTGATGGGAAATGCAGAGTGCCCCCCCCCCTCAAGCCGAACTGTGCCTAATTTCTTGTTTCGTACTGGTTCAAAGAGTCCTAGTCATTCATTCCCTAACCAGTTTATCGAGGTCACTCTTAGTTTTTTGTTGGTTTGCCTCGGCGCTGCTCGTCTTTGGATGTTAGAAGGGGACGTGTTGCACCTTCACTGGTTCCTTTTGCCGGTTCACTTCAGGTAACAGGTTGGTGCCCCTAACAAGTTGGATACGAACCCTGCCTCTTCCACTTTTCCCAAGTCGTTTTCGTTTGTCCTGTTTTCGAATTCAATTTAGAACGCCTACGTTTCCAATCAAGGCGGACGAGTTAATCACGTTTGGAGTACAAAGCCAGTAATTACCTCAGCTATGCTACTCAAAGAGAGTTTTGAGCGTGGGATTTGGGGTTTTCGGTACGGAGATCCCGGAACTTGGCCTTCCACATCTCGATAAGGAACAACCCCGTGTCTGGGTTACTATAACGATGGTTTTTCCCGCGAACACATTAGATTGGGTGGAACTATTACGACGAAGAACCTCCACGAATCTTTGCCATGTGAAAGTTGATTTCAAATGTGAAAGTGGTTCAAGGTGCAATTCGGCTCGAGGTGAAGGGAATTCTGCAATTACGCTCGCTCCTGGCGCGACGTGCCATCAAGTAGAGATTTATAGATTTATTTCGGTTAAATCACGAAGTGAGACCAGCGTTTGTAACCAGGAAACACCAGTGTCAGGAACCTCTTGAAGAGCAATGGACACGACGATGGGAAGCAGCGAAAGTGCGAAAATTCCCCCCTCCCCAAGCGAACTACTTACTTACCGCGTTCACCTCAGTGTATAAGTTGATAGACAAGAGAAATGGCGCGAAAATGGAAAAAGTAGGCGCGCCGTTCCTTTCAGCTCAGCCTTTCTCTTGGCTAAGGCTTCTGAAGGCTTAAAATTCAGTCGACAGTCTACCAACTTCGGAGCATTCCCTCAGAGGGAGCAATCGTATATTACCGCCCTTCAAAGTGCACCTGCATCTTGCAGGTGGCACACTAAGAAGAGAAAATGTTTCCCATAATTCAATTTTTCCGTTTGCTCCCAGGCCACGTCGTGGGTTTGGAATCTCCAGGAAGGGGGTCATATTTGGTCGATTTAGTCGATTTGGTTGGAGGAGGGAGGAATAGTACTTTCTCTTAAGAAGAAAGGTTGCGATTTGTCTATGGTTTTTCCTGTCGCTGGTGTGCTATTCTGCTCTGTTTGGGCCGCACCGATCACACAGCGTTCCATTCAGGTCCTCCCTTCCAGACTAGTATGTTACCAATAGAACGAACCTAGGTTGACTGGAACCTCTGAGTGGTTGGGGCGGTCGTTGTCTTCGGCAATCGAATTGGGTTTTTGCCGTAGCGTCCACTTCCGTCTCTCTGTTGGAACCGATGAAACATGAATGCCAGGCGTTCCCTTGGGGAATCTTACTATTGATAGTTTTCATGCGTATCTACACATTTGGGTTTAAGCGGAAAGCCATGGAGTAGCTAAACGACGCTTCACCCAACGCACGATCCGCTGGCATCAAGCGACTGGACTCGGCCCTTTCTAGTGACGCACCCTCACACGCATGGGTCTAATCAGCACGAGGACCGCGCGGTCAGAGGAGCCATCAAAAACATCGCCTACTTAGCTGGTTCAAACTGCTTAGAACCAGATTGTATTCGCAAACGGTCACAAGGATTTTGAGTGGGTTGTAGATGGCGTGGCCGCTTCAAAAGGGTTTGGATAGATCGCCGGGGCTTTTAACTTAACAGGTCCGGCATACAGAGCACATCGTAGACTGAGGGTTCCCTTAACGCGGCGAGGATCGTCTTTTGGCTCTTCGGAAAGGAGTGGAAGGGGTGCGTAGTTGGCTGAAGAGTTTTTGCTGGCGAACTCCGACTTACTGTATCTTTACCTACATGCCGCGCTGACGGCGATGGAAAAATTTTGATGAAAATTTGGAGAATGTTTAAGAAGTTGTAAAAATAAAGCCAGGGAGTTGGGAAAACTCGATAGGATAGTGGGTAGGATGAGAAGAAGGGGGCATATCGAAGGAGGAAAGGGGGCCACATCATGCAAAATTGTTACCCAGCGATATGACGCGCCCTGGTTGACGATCTTCTCAAGTCCGGGCAAGCTTGGTAAATTCATGCTATTGAGTATCGACTAAACGAGTTGGTTATGGGTTAAAATAGTAGTCTACCATCAAAATTTGTTGAAAATCCTCGGCAGTTAGCTCAGTGAGAACTGTAGGGCTCTTCATCATTCAGTAGAA